TAGTTACACATAACAAATTTAAATATGACAACTCAGCATGAAAAGAGTTGTTATGCACTCTAAAAAAATGAAGTGTTGAACTTAAACAAATTCTAGCAACATTCCACTAAACCTAGTTGAGTATCTTGCTCAAATTATTCAAGTCGCTTTAGTGGAACCAGTTTGCTTAAGTAAATTTAACACCTCATTTTTTTAGAACATGTGTAAAAGTGATTTTAGTTCTTTCATTATTGTGAATAATTCTATGAATTTTACTTAAGTACTTTTCTTATTCTTTCACATTTACATAGTTATTTCTTTCATGTATTTTATATACCTCTGGATATATATGGCATTTTCGTAACTGAAGGTAACATAGTTATCTGACTGTGTTGTAAAATTGAACCATAAACCTGAAAAATACARACCCACCCTTAGGTAGTTTTGAAACTTCCCTAAACAAATAAGCTAACAGTGAGCRATACCGATATTTTCTGTTTTCCTTTCATCTGCAACACGTTGAGGTTGATATTGTCCATATTCGGATCATCTTTAGTCTGCAYAGCCTGTCGTAGTTTCTCCCAGAAAAGCTCTGGGTGCCCTGCAGCCTGTGACCAGCTCTGGTAGGTTTGCTTCTTCAGCYGCTTCCTCATGCGGTAGTAAGGAGACAGCAGATGGGTGGGAAAGTCCTCCAGAAACACCAGGATCAGCACATCCTTCTGCTGGTCAAAGAGACAGAACCTGTGGAGGGGAGGCAAGAAAAATGAAAAATTACTTCAGTATGAGAACAAAAAAGAACTTCAAGATCTTAAAAAAGCATGTTTAAAATAAATTAAAATACAGCCCTACAAATACAGTAAAACAAAAGGTCAACAGACGACAACAAATAAATTTGATGCCAAATGGATCGACTTGGTTCTTCTGAGAACAGCACTTTCTCTACCACCTTCTCTGAATTGTGTAGTTGTTTTACGATAGGGTCCTTATGGTGTGTGTGGTGTTCCAGTATTTCCTTGCGTTACCAATGGGGTTCTTAGTGATTCTGTTCCCTACTTCTACCCCAGCTTAAAACTGGTGGTACAGACCATTCTAGCTTTGTAGAGTTCTACCACCAATTCTCTTATCTTTTTCTCCCTGTTGTTCATGGTGGTGAAGTTGAAATTGTGGAAATCAAATATGTGCTTTATACAAAACCAGTTAAAACAGGGATGTATGCATATGGTTGATTGATAATTGGAATGACTGAATAATTATTTGTAATCTGTGTGTCAGTTGGGAACTTAACCAGTCAGTGACAGCCAGAGTCCTGTATGGTTTGTAGAATTAAGTATGTTGAGTACTTTTACAAAACAGAGACCAACCTTTTTTTTAAAGCGACCATTCTAAAATAATCAGCCCGAGATCCAAAATTTCTGACACTTCTTTAATTACTCTGGTTACCTGGCTGTCCGGACATCTCTAGAGCAGTGTTTCCCAGAGTTGGGGTCGGGACCGAAAGTGGGGTCCCAAAACTTCAAGATGGGGTCCTGAAAATATTTTCTGAATTAATTACATTTTTTGCCTTAGTTGTGACAAAGGAGTGAGGTTAGTGTATTTAAAATGGATAAATGTAGTATAAAATATATTGTTACTATGCCTGTGTTTTGTTGACCTGATACAAATGTTTACCATCCAAAAGTATCTGGGGGCACAGGTCTCTGCTACTGTTATTTTGTGGGTCAAAAGCTGAAAAGTTTGGGAACCACTGCTCTAGAGCACCACTCACTCTCCAGGTATCTGTGGCTGATAACACAAATGGTCTTCCTGCTTCCATAAATAGCATATGTGATGTTATCCATGATGGGCTTTCCTGGAGCAGAAGATTAAAGAAAAGAGACTGCAATGAATCACAAAGACCTCTGTGCAATTCAGTTGAAATACTGCAGTGACACCCTATGGAGAACAGATGAATGTACAGTTGTGATTATACAATAAATGCACTAGTCTGAAAACTAAGTGCATATTTATTCTGTAAATAAAATAATGTCTGGAAAAAATGGGAAAAGCACCTGCTTTTAGATTACTTCAATACAAACATTCATTACTTTTATGAATACATACAAAAC